GTCAATGCGATCCCTGATCTGCATTTCATCACTAATACAGCAGTTAGTCTAGAGATAAATCCTGATGGCATTCATTGGCATGCTGGACAACCCTTCGTCTGAGATTGGCAATCCGAGAAGCAAACAGTATAAAAGCCTTTTTATAGAGGCCGTATTACAAAGGTACAGTATACACGACAGCTCACTGGCCCTGCCCTGCAACGTCACACAAACCTGCTTTGAGACAAACTGAAAGAGCACTGCTCTAAACCCCTCTTTGTTGGTAGCACCGCGCCATAAACACACATCACTCAGAGGTGAGTCCAAAAATATTCCCCACACCAGGTGAAGTGTTGGGATTAGAGGGGAGTAAAAATAAACTATTTTAATAATAATACCAGCTCTGACTGGATGAAGACAGAAAGAAGTAAAGAGGTGGACTGAAAGGAGGGAGAAGAGTCTCAGTTTTCAGAAGAGAGCGTCCGCATGAGGGAACAAACATTGAGAGCCCCTCCTCCTCCTCCATCTCTCTGGCCAAACTTCTGAATCTCGCCCCCTCCCATCTCCTTATTCTACCCCCTCTGTTGAAAAACTGGGACAGAGGGAAAGTGTAACAAAGCTATTTAAGTTTTGTAGACAACCTACCTTTCCACAGACGGCCCCACGCAGCCCTGGCAGACACGGTCACCAGGCCAAATGTGAATGTTCCACACATAGCTGGATTATTTTTAATGTTTATGAACTGTTTAATCTACAAAATGTCAGATAATAGTGCCATGTGCCCAAGGTGATTTGTTCAAATTACCCCAAGATATTTTACTTAAGATTCTCACATTTGAGTGCCTGGCTTTGTAAATGACCTTAAAAACGTTTGTAGATTGAATAACCAATTATTAAACTATTTGTTATTGCTGAAATGATGCTCTCTGTCAATGACTATACTGCACTGAAAGAGAGCAGAGGCCTCCACACACACACACACACACACACACACACACACACACACACACACACACACACACACACACACACACACACACACACACACACCACACACACACACACACACACACACACCACACACACACACACACCACACACACACACACACCACACACACACACACACACAACACACACACACACACACACACACACACACACACACACACACCACACACACACACAACACACACACACACACACACACACACACCTTGATTAACGAGATTGTACCGGTTTTTCTTTTAATGAGCAATAAAACAGTAGCGTGGGAGTTAACTGTGGCTTTCAAATGTGTTACCTCCTGTAACTAACAATACTTTTCCATCAATTAACTTAATGAGTTAATGAAATCAAAATAAATAAGGAAATAAGTCATTCAATTATCTCAGAGGCACTTTCTAAACTGAACTTGTTTTGGTTGATTTACAGTCTCAAATGTTTTCAATTTACAAGGAAACGGTAGATTTTAGGATGGAGCATGTTTGCCATTTTATGATTCCAATACAGATGCAGACTAATAGTTGCAGCTTTAATAATGTGCATGCAACAAACCTGCACAAGAACATTTACACATCAAATAAATATTCGAAGTGACTGTATAAGTCAAATGGTGAATGAACCATATGCTACCAAACATGTGTGTCACCTTTATTGCCATGGTAAGTCAACTTCCCTGTTTTCCAACGCCCACCTCCCCCTCCTAAGAGTCTCTTACCCCTGTCTGTCCCCTGCATATCTGCCCTGGTGTCTCCTCCTTATCATCCGGCCTCAGCTCCGTCTGTCAGCTGTGTTCCTGCTCCTGGGTGTTTGGCTCCGTTTCTGACCAGCCCTCCTGAGGAAAACTTCTCTAACCCCCCCGACTCTTTCTCAAGCCAAATGCCACCAGTGTGAATGGGAGCACAGTCCCCTCCCCTTCCTCTCTCTATTGCCCCCCCCTCTCCTCCTCTCAGCACAGCCTCTCTGACAGATACACCTCCTCTTTCCCTGCTCCACTCCTCCTCTTCCATTTCCTTTGACCAAAGAAACTACACACTGCAAAGTTCTCTGCTGCCTTTGTCAGGCAGTAAAAAGAAAAGGAGAGAAAGAGACGGGGAAGCCAGGGAAAGGCGAGCTGTCAGAGACCTTTTTACTTTCCCTCCCTATTTCAAGAAGAAAGGAATTAAAAGTAAAAAGAAAGCAGCACCGCATGACGATATCATCTCACTTTAAAAAGTCTGCCTTAACCACAGATTCTATTCTGGATTACAGCCTTTTCATCCGTCAAATTGAAATCTTCACCTAAGTGCATTAAAGACAAAAACAAAAGAAGATTCAAGTTAAAGGAGGGAGAGTATAATGCTGGGGTGTAGGAGAAGGAGGTGAAACTTCATCAAACACTAGTCCTGCTTCTCATCTGTCAATCTGATCTAAAACAAAGACGGGCAGAAACAAAGCTCATTTAGTTACTGAGCAAATTCTTAATCAAATAAGTCGTCAACCCGAATTAAATGAGTTAAACCTAAGATCGGCAGCTCCTTAAAAGCAAAGACAGGAGAGAACCGTAACTCCTCAAGAGGCAGAGCTGGATGTTTGACACATTAAGATACAGTAACGTGTTCAAGGCCTTTAAAACGTCAGACAATGTTAGATTCAACCAGAACATAATGGTTACAAATAGTGTACACCAATCTCAACTCTAAACTGTCCCATAAAGTAAAAGAAAGAAAGAAAACCGATACAATACTCAAGGATGTGATGAACTTTCAGTTCTTTATCTGAACATTTTAGACCTGGTTGATTTGTTGACCCTCGTGGTTGGTGGTTCACAGCAGTTGCATTTTCATAACTCAGGTCCATGGGTTCAGTTCCAAATTAAGTATCACTCAACTACGAGGTGCAGCAAAAAGGCCTTCAGCTGTCAGAAGAACAAAAGAAGAACTGTGTTCTTGTTTTTGTTTTAAAGTGAGAATAGGTATCATTCAAGAGAACAAATGAACAAAAAAACATATTTCACATATGGATGAAAAGTTAAATGGATAGAAAACAAAGCACCCAGTTCAACAAAAACATAATATGATAAATTATGTTTGATGACCAAGTCTTTGCTTGGTCTGGTTCCAGCTTATGGTGAAAACAAACTCTAAACATGTTCCTGCTCCTTAAAAGAGGATGTTTGTTGCATGAGAAATTGTGAATGTCAGTTTTAAATGTTTTTTACTGCTGAAAACAACATGGAATTTCCATGCGTTATTTTGCCTGGTTAAACCTAGAATCTGCAACATCTTTGATAGAATATTTAGGGTTTCTAACATCCTGGGTAACCAGTGGATCAGCTTCCAGAAGTGCACTGTCCTGTAACAGTGGCAGCATTTAGCTTCTTGCACTGACCTGTAATCCACCATCTGGCCAAATGATTTAAAAAAAGAGAAACAACAGGTGGAGTGCAGTCGGAGCTCAGCTGCTCAGCTCCAGATGAAGAGAGGGGTAAAGTAGGGTACGAGAAGTAGGCTATGTCCTGACATAGCCTCACACACACACATACACAAACACAGATCTGTCCCTTTCTCTTTACTACTCCCTCGCTCTCCCTGCTGCTATAACTAGGTCACACTGGGCCCAAAGTCTGTCCTTCAAGCAATAAGACGTAGGAGAAGGAGTTCAAGGTAATTCTTGGTCACGCTGGTCTTAATGGGAGGTCTGGAGAACACTGAAAGTGCCGCAAGTGAAGTCCCGTTTGGCTGCAGCCAAAGCCACAGGAACCACTCCGAGTGAAGAGTCCAAGAATGGCCAAACAAACACCATCAATCAGCCGGCCCGAGGCCACCAGTGCTGGGATAAAGGAGCAGGCTGCAAATCACCTCTGTGAATGCCACCATTAACACTGCCACTTTATAGGCTAGAGGGGGTTCTAACATGACTCAGCCCCTTTCGAGCGGGTTGATTTAGAGGCTGAAGCAGAACAGTGAAATTACAATTGAGTGTGTTCTATTTGCTTTCTGTATGATAGCCCAAAGGAAAGGAAAAAGGAAATGAATGTAAAACTCCAGATACAAAACATAATTCCAGTGTGGCTTTGCTGTAAGTTAAATGCATCTGTCTTGTAGTTTATCCCCATAAGTCATATAAAGTTTATTATCCTACAGAGGTTCCCACAAAAGGTTTAGAGTTCCGTCTGTGGGCCAATTTCTGGTAAACATTGAAAGCTGCTCTTTAAAAAAGGCCAATATTCTAGTTTATCTGTATCAATAGTGGAAGCCCAGCAGGGGGTCATCCATCAAAAGGCCGAGATGCCATCCTTCTGCGGCCCGTCAGCCTGCTTCCTTCTATATTTTCATAACAACGCCTCACGTCTGGGACACGAGACCGACAGAAAGCTAGGCCATCCATCAATATCCGTACCGCCTTTGCATGGGGACATCACTCCCTCTGGACAGTGGAGCTAAAACTGGCCTCAACAAGCCACTCTTTTAGACTTCTTGCTTCCAAAATAAACCACCAAGGCACAAAGCAGTCCAGGAACACCTCCTAAATAAAACCAGTGCCAATCTGTAGCACTTGGCAGGGGGTGGCTCATCATTTAGAGACACAAAATGAAAACAAGGGAAATATGTACTCTTAGTAAGTTGTGTCATAAACCCACAGACTGTTGAGTTGGCAGGGACCCGACTTAGCCACACACGGATTTACTGTATAATGTGCCAAAGAGATTAGGGTTACGCCTCCAGCTCTAAAATTACAGAAAAACCCTATCCATGATTAAGATCTGCTGCTAACTCATGCAGCAGGAACGTGTTAACATCCACACATGATGGGATGCACACTGTTACGTGTGTGGCAAGCTGCAGACTATTTTTAACGTCAATAAAGTCTCTACCAGAAATGCTTGGTTTGGAATATCAGAGAATTAACATGAATTACAGCAGCAGCTTTGTGAGTGAGAAGTTTCCTGCAGTAGTCCGATAAAGTTAGCATAAATCTAATTTTAAAACAGCCAAAAAGTTCAAGTTTAAAACATTTCATTAAAAAGGCACCACTCACCTCACAATGACACCCCGTCTTTAGATTCTGGAGGCCTTAGAAAAGCATGGCGGACAGGTCGGTCGAGCATCCCAAGAACTCACAACAGTGAGCAGATCCTCATTCCGTCTTTGTCGCTTTGTTCTCCAAAACTGAGGGGAGAAAAAGAAAAGAACAATGCACTTGTTGATTCAGCAAAAGAGAAGCACTGAGACTTCTACCTACAGTGGAGAGTTGTGACAAGTGTGTTTAGAAGTCAGCGGAAAAGAGGAAAATCTGAGTCATGATGGCGAAAGTTTTCACATGCAAGAAGGTTGAGACTGAGGGGATTTTCCATGTCAACAAGAGTGAAGACCGAGCCCAAAGCTGGCACCCAGTTCACTAACAAGAGGGCTTTCCCCCGAGTAAAGTAAAAACGTTGCTGTTTTCACAACAAGTTTTTGTTATTTTCTGTAGAAAAACACAGTTTCTAAGTTTAAAACACTTAACAAATTGAATTGATGATCATGTGGTGCCTTTCCTTTAAAAAAGACAAAAGAAGCACCCTGTCCATGTGGAAAGAAGCACAGGGCCCATCTGTATATCATTAAACTGTTGCATTAGCGGTAAAGTCACATTTAAGTACCATAGGTGTGAGCCAGACAGCTATTGTTTCATAATGGCTATTCACATACTTTAGATTACCTTTGGCACCATCATGTTTTCAGCAAGTCATATCGTTTCAGGGAGAACAATCATCTCACACGAGAAGAATAAATAATAGCAGCATATGGTTCTGGAAAATGGTGTAGATAAGATCTACTGCACTGCAGATAAAGTCACTGCCCTTAACCTCCCAACTTTAATTATGTTAGTCTCCAATTACCAAGCACATTTTACAAGTTGTAATATGTCTTTCTGTATGTTTGAGTATCATCAGGGCCGTCCCTCCCTACAGGCCGATCATGCAGGCTGCATGGGGCCTCACATTGCGCAGGGGGCCTCGGCTTATGAGCTCGGCTTGTGCGCAGTTCTCAGCGCAGTTCTCCGCGCACCCCCTGCTGACACGTGAGAGTGAGAGGTGACAAGGGGAGCACGTCTGTAACCCGACACCGTTGCAATGAATCGACATCTGACCAATCACGGCTTTGATACGGCCACTAGTGCAGGTGAAGAGATGTCGGTGAAAAGACAGTTTCAGTCCGGCGCAAGCAAGAGGGAAAAAAAACAAAAACATGAAGAAACTAGAGCATCACTCGAAGGTGGGTTATTGTATGAGTCAAATGTCAAACTTTTGCCAATTGCCATATTAAAACATCAGCTGCAATTCACGACATGAAGAAGGCAGTCTCTGCATAGCATATAGGCTAATGGAGATGCAGTTATCTCCAGCATTCTTTATTTACCATTCATTCAAGTATGTTATGCCTTGTATCTGCTAATGTACAGGTGGAAGAGTGATACACTGTCCGTCTAGTTGGCTTACATAACAGTTAAAGTTTACAGCCTAAAAAACATGGAGCATATTTTCTCCTTTTATTCATTTTGATGTCAATTTGCACATTTCATGGTGATGCTCAGCCTCTCCCCTTAACTCCTAACAGTCATCACCATGTCAACCACAACACAGAGAAATACTCATAGAAATGTATGTGTAGTTGTTGACACATTGCTGACAGAGGGAACTACATTTGAATACAGATTTAAGAAATATCAGTTTTTGAGCATGTCATAAGCATGTTTTGTCTTGACTATATTACAACTATATTATAATAATATAGTATTTATATTATTGAATTGATTATTAGTAGAAGTAGTTTATTTGCATTAATTATATTTTAATCTTTTTGAGGCTAGTATTTGGCAGGAAATGCAGACGTATTCACCTGTAAACGCATACTTGCACATTTACCTCACTGTATAAAAAAGTAACTGTTGATAATAATAAACAGGAATTATATTTGCAAAGTACTTTGTTTCCAAAAAAAATTGTTTCACTCCTGTCGGTTGGGGGGGCCTCATCTCACAATGTCGCTTGGGGCCCCAAGTTGGCCAGGGACGGCCCTGAGTATCATTGAGTTTACGAAATATGTGCATAAGACACTTTGGAATAATTGCCAATGCTTCAAGAGGTCATATTTCCAAGTAACTCTGTAGATCAGGGGTCGGCAACAGGCGGACCGCGGTCCGGATCCGGACCCAGACGCCGACCTATACGGACCCGGAGCTATAATCAATACATTAATAGGGGTTTTTTCGGCTCCTCCCGCTTTTTTAACACTGATTTGGTTGACTTGTGTAATTAAGTGGAGAACCGAAGAGTTTTCGTTTTGGGGGTGGGGGGGGAGTCCGTCCGTCAGTCCGACTGACGGACAACTTCTCACTTCAAAAAAGAAGAATAAATCTAGACCGCAAAAATAATTAAACAAGCGAGTACCTGTTTTTCCTGTCCAAGGACAGGTTCCTCGTCTGAAAGGAGTGCTGACAGAGAGCACCGGAACGCCGCTCCAGCTCTTCAAATATTGCAATACCCATAAGGAGCCGTACACATGCTGCAGTGTTTGCGTGGCTGTGTCTTTAGTTGTAAGCACAGTGGCGATCTGTTGTTATTAGCATCTGGTTAGCTAGCTATGCTAACGAATTTAAAGAGCTTTTCTACAACCAGGTGGAAGAGAGCTCTCTCCTGAGAGGCTCAAATAACCTCAGCTCAGTGAGGTTAAGGCACACCTTGATATGATCATTATAGTTATTAATGAAACTAAATGAAAAACAGGTATAAAATACTATATGACAGTAACAAAAAAGTTGTTAAAAATAACAAGAATAGAGTTTAAAAGGAGAGTGATTTGTAAAAATATCCAAAAAGAAAAATATGCTTACAGTTCCGTTTCATATGGGTGTTGAGAGATGTATCCATAGATCTCCTAATGTTGCTCTCAAAGTGCACCAGATTGATGCTTTTAACTTCAATATTTAAAAAAAATCTTCCCGGGGGAGCATGCCCCCGGACCCCCCTGGAGGAGGTTAGGTCCCCCCCCACTTAAGTCATGTTCACATGGATAGGATACTAAATACATTTGCACACATCTTGTGTCCATATCTTTCTGTTTTGGTGGTCACGCCACACCGTGCACATGCATGCATACGTGAGTCATGGTGAGATATCTGGATTAAGAGGTTGCTTTTTCTTTGCACAGAATGAAAGAAAGGTGAAATGAATGGGCTGTGATTTTAGTTTTTTTAAGCAGAGGTTGAATTCAATAATTTATACGACCCTCGGAGGATGTTGTAAAAATTTAAAGGAAAAAGGTTCCCCACCCCTGCTGTAAATAATAATAAAAACCCTTGATTTTGAACTTAACATCTCTGTCTCCTATTGATCTGAGTATATTATAAAGAATAGCAGTTAATTTAAGCACAGGCCTTTGTCAGATGGTATTACTCTGTTTTTTTCCTGCTTCGAATAGTTCTCTCTTTTTTCACCATACCTGTGTTTGCATCACTGAAACCAATGAGCACCTGCATGTGTGTGAGAATGGCCCTGACACCATTTCAGCCCAGATTTACAAACTCCTGGCAGGACAAGCTCGAGCTCAATTCTCACACTGAATTTTAAAAAAGTGAGTGAGGGACTGCAATATAAGAGGGAAAGAAAGAGAAACTTTAAACTGTTCAATTGTTATGATGTGTAAAGACTGATATTGTTCTATAATCGGCTGAAACTGTTAAGTCATGATGTGAAACGGTTAACAAAGAAAAAGGGAAACTCAAGCTGCTGCTACACTTTATTTTATTTATCTAAAATTAAGCACTTTTAAGATGCACACATTTTCAAAAGATATTTTATTTATTTTCTCTATTTTATTTGTAAATGCAGCCCGAGAGGAACATTACACATATCCACAGTATTTACTGTATATCTAGTTCAATGTTAATTGACAATAAATATTGTTGTTTTTGAATTGTACTTTCTTTATTTGATTGGCAGTCAGTTGTCGATTACATGCAGACGTTGATAAAGCTACAGGACACTTCAATATATATATCACACTAATTCATGAAGCAAGTTAGACATTTTGATGTTCCGGACCTTTGCATGGGGAGATTTTCTCTAACTGGACCTCGTTGAATTTTAGTTGAAGACCCCTGCTGTAGATGAATTATTCCCACAGTATTTAAAGACTAAGTGACATACACAATGTCACTAGAGTTATGCAATGAACTAAATGTTACATTATAAATCACATACTCAACATAATCATATCAAAACTTGCAATAAATGTCAATAAAAGTTCATAAGTTCAACAAACCTTACCAACAGACCAGTATCTTCAACTGGTTATTCTGTAATCAAACTGGATGAGAGATACGAGGGGAGACAGCATGAGAGAGAAAATACTTCACATAGTGTTGTATATTTCCTGATACAGTTGCAAGAAAAAGTATGTGAACCCTTTGGATTCTCCACACATAGCGTTGTGTGTTCCTTCCAAACAACTCAACTTTGGTTTCATCTGTCCACAGAATATTTTGCCAGTAGTGCTGTGGAACATCCAGGTGCTCTTTTGCAAACTTCAAACGTGCAGCAATGTTTTTTCTGGACAGCAGTGGCTTCCTCCCATGAACTCCATTCTTGTTCAGTGTTTTACGTATCGTAGATTCGTCAACAGAGATGTTAGCATGTGCCAGAGATTTCTTTAAGTCTCTAGCTGACACTCTAGGATTCTTCTTCACCTCATTGAGCATTCTGCGCTGTGCTCTTGCAGTCATCTTTACAGGACGGCCACTCCTAGGGAGAGTAGCAACAGTGCTGAACTTTCTCCATTTATAGACAATTTGTCTTACCGTGGACTGATGAACATCAAGGCTTTTAGGGATACTTTTGTAACCCTTTCCAGCTTTATGCAAGTCAACAATTCTTAATCGTAGGTCTTCTGAGAGCTCTTTTGTGCGAGGCATGGTTCACATCTGGCAATGCTTCTTAAGAATAGCAAATTCAAAACTGGTGTGTATTTTCTATAGGGCAGGGCAGCTTTAACCAACACCTCCAATCTCGTCTCATTGATTGGACTCCAGGTTGGCTGACTCCTGACTCCAATTAGCTCTTGAAGAAGTCTTTAGCCTAGGAGTTCACATACTTTTTCCACCCTGCACTGTGAATGTTTACATGGTG